GGAGGGAGGGAGGGAGCGAGGTGGGGGGAAATGGTAGAGTGAGGGGAGGAGGGGGGAGGGAGCGAGAGGGGGGGAAATGGTTAGGGTGAGGGGAGGGAAGGGAGGGAGCGAGGAGGGGGAAATGGTCAGAGCGAGGGGAGGGAAGGGAGGGAGCGAGGAAGGGGGGGAAATGGTCAGGGTGAGAGGAGGGAAGGGAGGTGGCGAGGAGGGGGGGGAAATGACACTCACAGACTCTCACTCACACACTCACAGACTCTCACTCACACACACTCACAGACTCTCACTCACACACACTCACAGACTCTCACTCACACACACTCACAGACTCTCACTCACACACTCACAGACTCTCTCTCACACACTCTCAGACCCTCTCACTCACACACACACTCACAGACTCTCACACACACTCACCGACTCTCTCACTCACTCACCGACTCTCTCTCACACACTCACCGATGCTCTCACTCACTCACACTCACCGACTCTTTCACTCACTCACTCATACTCAGACTCTCTCACTCTCACAGACTCTCTCACTCACACACACACTCAGACTCTCAATCACACACTCACAGACTCTCACAAACTCTCTCACTCACAGACTCTCTCACTCTCATTCACAGACTCTCTCACTCTCATTCACAGACTCTCTCTCACACACACACACACTGCCCTCCCTACACACACACACACTGCACTCCTTACACACACACTACGCTCCCTACACACACACACACTGCCCTCCCTATGCACACACACACACACTGCCCTCCCTACACACACACACACTGCACTCCTTACACACACACTACGCTCCCTACACACACACACACTGCACTCCTTACACACACTACGCTCCCTACACACACACACACTGCCCTCCCTCCGCACACACACACTGCTCTCCCTACACACACACACTGCCCTCCCTACACACACACCACTCACACACACAGCCAGGACAGTGCGGTCACTGCGCTCCCTACACACACACACACACACCGCCCTCCCTACACACACCCTCACACACACAGCCAGGACAGTGCAGTTACCGCTCTATCGCCGGCCGCAGTGAGAGATCGGAGTGTTTTCCAGGCCCCGCGCGGCGCAGACCTGCGGTGTATACCCTTATTAACACAGGAACAGCAGCGTTTCCGCAAACAACACCCTTTCCTCTCTGCGCCTCGGTGAGGCCCATTAACCCGTCATTGACTGGAATGGAGAGTCTCACACACACAGACAGAGAGGGAGAGAGACAGAGAGAGAGAGAGAAAGACAAGGGTAGAGAACGACACAGAGACACACCCCCACACACACACACCCCCACACACACACACACACACAAAGAGACAGACAAGGGTAGAGAACGACACAGAGACGCACCCCCACACACACACCCACACACACATCCACACTCACCCACAAAGAGACAGACGGACAGAAACGCACACAGACTGAAAGACACTGACACCGACGTACGAACACAAGGAGACAAACACAAATACATATAGGAACGATGCACAGACAGAGATAATAATAATAATAATAACAATAATCCACGCATTGCGATACAGCGCTTTTTCACGTCGGGAGAGGAGGTCCCGAAGCGCTTCACGGAACGCACCGTAAAGCGAATCGACTGTGTATATGTTTGTGGGCGAAGGCGGCGGCCGATGGCGCACAGCGACGTCCCCACGGACGGTCGCGGGTGGAAAACGACCGATTTGTTATTGTTTTGGGGTTTTTTTTTTGGGAGGGATTGTTATTATTCTTAGGGCCGCGTGTGTGTGGGTGTGTGTGTTCAAGAGAGAGAGAGAGATTGTGAGTGTGTGTGTTTGTGTGGGATTGGGTGTGTGTGTGGGTGTGTGGATGTGTTCAAGAGAGAGAGATTGTGAGTGTGCGTGTGTGCGTGTGTGTGTGGGTGTGTGGGTGTGTTCAAGAGAGAGAGAGAGAGATTGTGAGTGTGGGTGTGTGTGCGTGTGGGTGTGTGTGGGTGTGTGTGTGGGTGTGTGCGCGTGTGGAGTAAGGAATCTTATCCGAACGCAGTGGAAGAACACGTCAAAGGGGGTCAGAGGATCGGCCGACGCTCCGGACGGTAAAGACTACAAAACTATTCACAATTCTGTGTTAATCTCAAATATATAAACTACTTTTTTTTGCGTTAACGCTCTCTCTCTCTCTCTCACTCTCTCGAACACACGCACACACACACTCGCAACTCACAATCTCTCTCTCTCTCACACACACACTCTCACAATCTCTCTCTCTCACTCTCTCACACACACACACACACTCACAACCTCTCTCTCTCACACACTCTCACAATCTCTCTCACTCTCACACACACACACTCTCACAATCTCTCTCTCTCACTCTCTCACACACACACACTCTCACAATCTCTCTCACTCTCACACACACACACTCTCACAATCTCTCTCTCTCACTCTCTCACACACACACACTCTCACAATCTCTCTCTCACTCTCACACACACACACTCACAATCTCTCTCTCTCTCACACACACACT